CTATTCGCGACTATTCGCTATTCGCTATTCGGGTTTTCCAGACACCCCTAGTGAAGATATCAATGATTTCATTGATTTCAAGTTTGTCTCTTAAATTGTACTTGTTGTTGTACTTGTAATTGTACTCTTAAATTCGTTGGTGTATGATCGAAAGATCTTGGGATCTTCCTCGAAAGTCTTCGGCAATCTTCGTTTATCTTGGGATATCTTCTGTAATCTTAAGAAATTCTCGGAAAATGTTCGGAAACGTTCGTGTGGCCTTCGGATAAGTTTTGGAGAATCTTCGGAAATCTTCGGAAAGTGGTGGAGAATTTTCGGAAAATCGTCAAAAACGTCGTTACCAGCATGTCTATACAAGAGACCTGTACCTTTATGGATAATGTTGTGTTGATATCGTCCAGTAGTGTTCTGATGCTGCTGTCTTCTTGATCGAGTCTTTCTGTGGTGCTGTTAAGCTGTTAGATATGCGAAAACAGTGGAAGAGAATTTAGTAACGATATGATGCTAATTTAGACCGTATGTCTACATACTATCTCCCTCTTAATTACGGTACGTCGAGTTTGTTAAGAGCTGCACAGCAAAACATGGTCTAAACAAATTTTGTTAATAAGAACGAAAACTTCCTTACCTCTGTGTCCGTCTGAGAAATTGCCATAGATAGCTCATCCTTCGTGATGTTCAATCTTTGCTCCAAAGTAACGAGCCCACAGTTAAACTAGAGTGACGTGGAACGTACAAGAATTCAGCAGCAAACAAGGGGCACGGAAATCTCACTATGCATGTTGCAGGTAAACATTTAGAAACATATATTTAGTATTTATCATTTTATTTTGCAAATAGGTATCTTATTGTTCCTTCTCCGCCAGTGACCCTCCGCTTAAAGGTAGAAGTTAAGTAAAAATATGTCTAGAATGATAACGTTAATATAACAGCTGCATTGCTGTTGCATATCAAGTGATAATAAGTGTAAAAATATAATCCTTCTGAAGGTCTGAGAAATGGAAAGAAAAAAGTTAATAGGCTTAATTTTCGTTTTATGTTCCATGGCGTGTTGAAACAATCACGGGAAGAAAAAGTATTATTATGAAACAGAAAACGGACATTTTCAACTTATTTTAGACCTAGTCATTATTGATCCATGAAAAATTATCTTACCAAGGCCAGAAAACTGCTAGTGTTTGTCTTGAAAATGTTGAAGTTGTCTACTGTTTGGTTTGCCAACATGTGCACTGCAGCTATGGATGAACCGAGCTGCTCGATCTGACGAATAAAACAGTAATCACACGATCTAAAAGAAGCAAAAATCTACAATTACGGCCAAAAGCCTTGGGACAAATTTGCACTTTTGGCGCTTTTGCGCACACGTCACACGCGAATGCAACTTCACCTGCCTAACCTCCCCCCCCCTACCCCCCATAATATTGAAAACTACTACCTGCAATTTCTTCTGATTTTCAACATTGTATTGGGTGGGGAGGGGGACCAGTGACGCGTTTTTAAAAGGAAAGCAGCGCTTTTTTCTAGCTTCAGTAGTAAAACACATACAATTCGTTAAATTGCATAAGTGTCCCAAGACTTCTGTCCAAGATTGTAGCTGGAGTTTACGCGAATCTAACGCGCGCTCTCACTGATTTATTTATGGTCACCGGACAAAAATGGACAGCAATAAAGTAATTGTCGCCTGCTCTCCCACTAACTGCTTGCTATACAACTTTGCCCTAAACTCCAACTATATAACAAATCACTTAATCACTGGTCCCTTGGGAAACAATCAGTTTTGCTTTCCCTCGAATCTCGATGTTTGCTTCGGCTCCGTCTCACGAAACATCGAGATTCTCGGGAAAAGAAAAATAACTTTTCCACTCAAGAACAGTGATTAGTTGTAAACTATTGCATACTATTACGTCTTAGTCTTCTCATATCAATATTTCATCTTATACTCCCTTTGTATACCTTACATTGCTTGAATGCTTGGCCCCTCTGTGATTATTCCTGGAAAGCAGTACTCTATTTAAATTTAGTATTGTTTTGTATCAAACTACTTTTAGAAAAACGCCTCTGGAAAACCAACACTCAGTACCTGTTGGCAAACTCGCAATCCTATTGGCTAGCCGGGAACCTACATTTCATCCTAGGAGTGTAATTTTCGCGCGCGTGCCTTCTGGTCGTAAATTTAAAAAATACTAGTCTATATTTAATAGATCAGTCTCTCGATTATCGGTACCTCACCTGCTGAAGAGCAGTAGTGTTGACTTCTTTCAGGTCACTTTGAAGTCTATTATCCTCCTGCCCTAACTCTTGTACCTAAAGTGCAGCAAAAATAAATGCCACATTTAAAAACAACGAACGCTGTAGATAGCTTTATAGTAGGTTAAGAAACGTCTAGTCTCAACGGATGAAATTTGGCCCGTCTTCTCCTTTTCTGCTATGCCATTGGCTTAGGCTATAATGCCACAGATATCGATGATGTAACAGCTTTATAACTAACATGAGGTAGGATTGGTCCAAATATAGTTTCCAAAGGAAATTATCCTAGTTCACTTTGGTTACCATGAGGTTCTCAGGCATTTTCGTGTTTTTGTAGAGTGAAAAATACAGTCTCCACCTAAAGGCATGAAAACCAATTATCAACTCGGCACGAAATAGTTAGAACCAATACGCGCACTTTTATCTTGGTAGTGTTCAAGTGTGAATTTTAGCGCCATTTTACCAAAATGGCATAGATAAATGCAAAATTCCATCTTTGATAGGGCCAATTGGATTTCAAATAATTTAGAACTTACAGATGTGCAAATTTGGCCGGAGAAGTCAATTAGAATATGTCTTGAATAGACACCTCGCGTCATGAATAAACCGAAAAAAAGACACCGAATTTTGTCACGGGAATAACGTGTCCTCTCAAAAACTATATATAAACCGTTCTCGTTAATTGACTTAGATGTTATTGGTTATTCACCGCGACTTACCTGGTCTGAAAAAGTTGTATTTAACATGCCAATGACGTTTTGTAAGTTGCCAACTGAAGATTTCAGGTTGTCATCGGTGGAATTTAAACTTCTCTTAAGTGATAACAGATCATCTTGTACCTATGAATGGAAATGTGTTGTCGAAAACTGAGGTTACAACAGAAACACATCTCTGATAGAGTGTTTTTAACGTTTATTAAAAAAAAATCGTATTTGCTTCGGTTTTACTCACGCCACTTTGAAATCCAACGAGAATCACAGCCAACCAATCGTGATTCGCGCGCACAAATTTTCCCGCGCTTCGTATCAGCTACCTACACTCGCTTGGAGTTTTGATTTGTTCAATAGATTGTCTGCATGAGCCCATTGTTATTGACCAGAGTGATTATTTATAATTGGGTTTACGACACTCAGTTAGAAATGTGCTCTAATGGTACGTGTTTTATCTAATTCTGACAGAAGAAAATGGTGGCATCTGCGTGCTGACTTTGCCTGGTAAACCTAGACTATTTGCATTTAAAATTCGGTTTTCACATGTCAAGGCTCATTATTCCCAAGTGGCAAGCTGTGCGTGGGAAATGTGACAGAAAAGCCAGAGATCTTGAATATTTTATCATTTTTTATCAGTTTTCATATGCATT